CCGAACCGAAATGTTTGCTCGAAAGTCCACAAAAATCCAAAGTTTTAATGTTCTTACATTCGAAAACGAGAACCCGTAAAACTTCAAGATTGATAGTTGATGTCAACGTTTCCGAAACGGAGAAAGTCTCCAACATGGTGCAAGATCGTAGAATGCTTATAAGAATTTCGGGGGTAATGACCGTCTGAATTGTAGCGTCGCTCTTTTGTAAGCCCATGGTAGAGAAACCAGAAAGATCCAAATGACGAATCATTCGGGGACGCTGAGATTCGCCGAGAATAGCTTTGGCGAATAAAGTAAATGTGTAAGGAAATGAGAAAGAAACGGTATGATATAAGATTGGTGTGGCGTGAAGATTAAACGTATGATTTACAGTAGCGCAAGCGTTAATAGTTTTCTTGTCATCTTTTATTAAACCAAGAATTATACGAATGATTTCAGGAGGAAAGTTGGGAATATTTTTCGTATTTGAATTTTTGATTAAAGGTTGAATAGCAAGAGGATGACGGTTGGCAATTTGTCGAGCGGCAGATAAAGACATTTTTTAATATATATATATATATGTTTAGTAATTGACAAATAGATATAATGTATTTAAGAAAAATAAATGAAGTGAAGGAGGAAAAGATGAAGTGAAAAGTGTCCCTATAAATATAACGGATTGGTAAAGATTTTTGTATTATATTTTACACTATATACAATAAAAAAAATTATTTATATTTTATAATAACTAATAATTTTGTGAATTGTGAATTGTTTTTAAAAAACAAAGGTCATCTGAAACGTTCCGATTTAATTTGTTTATTATACCACAAAGATTATTTGTATATCATTTATGTAATTATTGTAAAATGGTCCTTTTCCCCATAGCATCCTTTTTTCCCCCCAAAAAAATTTTTTATTATTTTATTTTATTTTTTTCTTACAAGAGAATCATTATTAATTCCTTGATAACCATAGATTAAACTTTTAAAGTAATCTTATCTGAATCATTTATCTAAGGGGTCTATTAACTCGTTATTTTATAGAAACTTTGGACGAAATTTATTTATTCATTTTTTTTTTTTTGATAGTTTTTTTTTTTTTTTTTATCGACCATTAAATAGAATTTATTAATAATACTTTTAAAACTTTTTTCATTGCTGGATCAATGGTCGTACGAGTTTTTACCCTTGCTGTGCTACAAATCATTTCCAAAATTTTGTCAGTAATTTTAGAATATCGCTTTTGTAAAAAAGAAATAAAATAGTTAAATATACAGCAAGAAATATTTAATTTATTAATCGTCAATTATTCAATTATGACTTTGTCCAGAACTTTTGTAATATGATAATTAGAGTATAAACATTTGCAACTGTAAAATAATATATGAGTGATATGTTAATTAACTCATTTAAATCGTTTAAATGATAATTTAAATCTGTTTGATGGTGAAGGTAAAGTAAAATTTAAACATAACACTTTCTATTACATACTTTAATTTAAAAAATGTATTGTTTTTAAGTTTACTTTATCATGTATATTTGTTGTTTACATACTTCAAAATCTAATCAAAGATGTGTTACGTGTTCAAGGTATTTGTTTATATTGTTTTAAACCATTTCTTTTTTTTTTAGATAACAAATTGCAGATCCGTAATTCCGGTTTGTAAGCCTCATTCGTTATCTTATACATACTGTGACCTTCTTTATTCTACATAGAATGATGGAAGGTTAAAAAAATGTTTTTGGTACAAATATTATTGATGTTTCGTTTTTAAGATCAACCGGCTAT